TAGAGGAGAAACAAAAACCACCACCACAGAAATACAAAGGATTATAAGAGAATATACATATTTTTTAGATTTTATTTATTTATTTGAGAGAGTGAGACCACATGCAAGAGAGCATGAGGGGGGTGGAGAAGCAGGCTCCCCGCTGAGCAGGGAGCCCCATGCAGGGCTGGTTCCCAGGACCCCGAGATCATGACCTGAGCTGAAGGCAGACGCTTAACCAACTGAGCCACGCAGGCACCACAGTTTATAAGAGAATATTATGAAAAATTATATACCAACAAATTGGACAATCTAGAAGAAGTAAATTCCTAGAAACAATAACTTCCCAAAACTCAATGAGGAAGAAATAGAAAATCTGAACAGAGCAATTAACAATGAAATTGAATCAGTAATCAAAAAACTCCCAACAAACAAGTCCAGGACCAGATGGCCTCAAAGGTGAATTTTAGAAAACATTTAAGAAGAACTGATACCGATTCTTCTCAAACTATCCCAAAAACCTGAAGAGGAAGGAATGCTTCCAAATTCATTCTATGAGGCTAGCATTACCCAGGTATCAAAACCAGATAAAGACACTACCAAAAAAGGGAACTACACACTGGCCAGTATCTCTGATGAACAGAGATGCAAAAATCCTCAACAAAGTATTACCAAGATGAATCTGACAATACATTAAAAAAATCATTATGATCAAGCGGGATTTACCTAGATATGCAAGGGTGGTTCAATATTCACATCAACAAAAAAAAGGAAAACGTTCATATGATCTTTTCAATAGATGCAGAAAACACATTTGACAAAGTTTAACACCCACTTATGACAAAAAACCCTCAACAAAGTAGATTTAGAGAGAACATAACACAATAAATGTCTTATAAGACCTTATAAGACCTATAACTCAATCGTGAAAAACTGAGTGCTTTTTCCCTAAGATGAGGAACAAGACAAGGATGTCCGTTCTCACAACTTTTATTCAACATAGTACTGGAAGTCCTAGCCACAACAATTAGATAACAGAAAGAAAAGGCATCCAAATTGGTAAGAAGCAACTTTCATCGTTTACAGATGACATGATACTATATGTAGAAAACCCTAAAGACTCCACTGATAAATGAATTGTTAAGGTTACAGAATACAAAATCAAGACACAGGAATCTGTTGCATTTCTATACACTAATAATGAAGACGCAGAAAGAGATATTAATAAAACAATCCCATTTACAATTACACCAAAAAATAAAGTACCTAGGAATAAGCTTAACGAAGGAAGGGAAAAACCGGTACTCTAAAAACTATAAAACATGGATGAAAGAAACTGAAGAAGAAAACAAATGGAAGGATATACCTTGCTCATGGATGGGAGAATCAGTAGTTAAGAGTATCCACATTACCTATAGCAATCTACAGATTTAATACAATCTGTATTAAAATACCAACAGCATATTTCACAGAACTAGAACAAATAACCCTAAAATCTGGATAGACCCACAAAAGACCCCAAATAGCCAAAGCAATCTTGAAAAAGAAAAACAAAACTGGAGGTATATCACAATTCCAGATTTCGAGATACACTACAAAGCTGTAGTAATCAAAATAGTATGGTACTGACACAAAAACAGACACAAACATCAATGGAACCAAAAAGAGAGCCCAGAAATAAGCCCATGATTACATGGTCAATTAATCCTTGACAGAGAAAGCAAGAATACTCAATGGGAAAAAGACAATCTCCTCAAAAAATGGTGCTGGGAAAAACAGACAGCTACATGCAAAAGAATGAAACTGGATCAGTTTCTTACACCATATACAAAAATAAACTCAAAACGGATTAGGACCTAAATGTGAGACCTGAAATCATAAAAATCCTAGAAGAGAGCACAGGCAGTAATTTCCCTGAGATCAGCCATAGCAACATTTTTCTACATATGTCTCCTGAGGAAAGGGAAAGAAAAGCGAAAATAAACTAATGGGACTGTATCAAAATAAAAAGCTTCTGCACAGCAAATGAAACAATCAACAAAACTAAGACAACCTACTGAATGGGAGAAAATATCTGCAAACAACATATCCCATCAAGGCCTAGTATCCAAAATATATAAAGAACTTAAAAAACTCAATACCAAAAAACCAAATAATCCAATTAAAAATGAGCAGAAGGAAAAAAAAAATGGGCAGAAGACACGAACAGATATTCTCCTAAGACACACAGATGGCCAACAGACACATGAAAGATGCCTAACATCACTCATCATCAGGGAAATGCGAATCAAAACCACAATGAGGTATCACCTCACACCTGTCAGAATGGCTAAAATAAGAAACAAGTGAGGGGTGCCTGGGTGGCTCAATCGTTAAGCATCTGCCTTCGGCTCAGGTCATGATCTCAGGGTCCTGGGATCTAGCCCCGCATCGGGGTCCCTGCTCTGTGGGAGGCCTGCTTCTCCCTCTCGCACTCTCCCTGCTTGTACTCCCTCTCTCGCTGTGTGTCAAATAAATAAAATCTTAAAAAAAAGAAACAAACAAGTGTTGGTGAGGATATAGAGAAAAAGGAAACCTCTTGCACTGTCGGTGGGAATGTAAACTGGTACAGCCACTGTGGAAAACAGTATGCAGGTTCCTCGAAATATTAAATGATTTTTTAAATATTATTTTTAATAAATAAATTATATGATCCACTAATTCCACTACTATTTACCCAAAGAATATGAGAACACTAATTTGAAAAGATGTATGTAGCCCTATGTTTACTGCAGCATTATTTACAATAGCCAAATTATGGAAGCAGCCCAAGTGTCCATCAATAAATGAATGGATAAAGAAGTGGTATGTGTGTGTATATACACAGGTACAATGGAATATTATTCAGCCATAAAAAAATGATAAAATTTTGCCATTTTCAACAACATGGATAGATCTAGAAAGTATAATGCTAAGTGAAATAAGCTGGTCAGAGAAAGACAAATACCATATGATTTCACTCATATGTGTAATTTAAAACAAAAGAGAAAGAGACAAACCAAAAAACAGACTCTGAGAACAAACTGATGGTTACTAGTTACTAGAGGGGAGGTGGGTGGAGAGATGGGTGAAATAGGTGAAGGGGATTAAAGAATACACTTATCATGATGAGCACTGAGTGATGTACTGAACTGTTGAATCACTATATTATACACCTGAAACTAATACAACATTGTATATGAACTATACTAAAATTATAATTAAAAAAACAAAAAAAAAACCAAAAAAACAAAAAGATGATCCTGGACTGCTCAGTGCTCCAAAGCATCCAGCAGAAGCAATGTAAATCTTCTGTGGAGGATAACAACATCCTAACCTTCCCATGTTTTTGCAAACCATTTTGGAAATACAAAGTCTGGCACACAAATAAAAATAACCAGACACACAAAGTAGTAAGATCCCATGAGTGAGAACGAACAGAAACGAAATAAACAGACCTACACAGACTCCAGATACTGATTTTAAAACCAGATTAAAAACTGACCTATGCTTACTATGTTCAAGGAAATAAGTAGCTGCCACGGGTGGGGAAAAACAGAGATTCCATTCAAAATATTCAAAGGAGCACCAATTAAACAACTGTCTTTTCAAAAGAAACAACAGCGCCAGATGACAACAGTGCTGAAATAAATAATTAACTTTCTTAGAATTCTATACCCAGAGAAAAATTCAGTCAAGAAAGATGAAACAGGGAGCCCAGGTGGCTCAGTTGGTTGAGCAACTGCCTTCAGCTCAGGTCACGATCCTCGAGTCTGGGGATGGAGTCCCATATCAGGCTCCCTAGTCAGCGGGGAGTCCGATTCTCCCTCTGACCCCCCCACCTCTCATGTGCTCTCTTTCTCTCTCATTCTCTGAAATCTTAAAATCTTACTCTTTTAAAATCTTTTAAAAAAAAGATGAAATAAAGGTATCTTAGGCAAATAAAAACAGAAGCTAATGCCACCAGCAAACTTGCACTAAAGAAATACTAAAATATATCCCTCAGGTAGAAGAAAAATTATCTTGGAAGGGCAAAAATACAGGAAAAAAATGCAGCCAGGAAAGCAATAAATATCTGGATTAATCAATGTTAAATACTGACTGAATAAAAGTACAGCAATGACAATCTGTTATTGTTTGTAACATAATATACAGCACAAGTGAATCAAAAGATTATGAATAGAAGAGCAAGGGTAAGAGGAATTGTTTCTAGTCCAGGCTCTGCCACTAACTGGTTTCACTGATGTCTGGTACATCTCCACTCTCTAGGTCTCAATTATTGTATTGTCTGGGTCTTTTATTGTAAGAGGTTTGGGTAGTTGACTACTAGATTTCTGTCAACCTAAATAAAGAGGAAAACTGAGGAAAGCTCATTTTACCAGAAAATGAATTTGTTTGAGAACAGCAGAAGAATTTCAATTCGGGAAATGCATTCTGTACAAAGCTACAGGCAGATCTGTTGAGGGTTTAGGATGGGCTGTATTTATGGGCAAGGACTGCAAAGGGGAGAAGCCCAGCTGGAGTCCAAGCAGTAAGTTCACTGGCTTGAGGATGGAGAGAGATTCTTGGCAGATATTCATTGGTCAGGAGAGAAGTCTCCATCTTTTGTACACCAGGCATTTACAGGAAATCAGCCCCTCAATTTTTAAGTTCGTTCCTCTGAGGACATATGCCTAAGATTCTCCATTTCTTATCCTCTTATTCCATTTTAGATTAAAATCCTTTCACAGTTCCCTTTTCTACTCTACATAAGACACACTGAAGAACTATTTTCAGAAATCAAATATAAAAATTAATTCTATATCCATATATTTTAGCAACAAATTTTAAACATTTGATTATGTAACAGTTTTGATGCTCTGTATTTATTTATGCAGACCTCCTTTACTTATTCCAGAAAAGACTTAAGGCAACTTGTACTATCAAATTCATTTAAATAATCTATGTATAGACTAAGATGGCCTATGATAGTGGACTGGGGTAAAAACCTAACTGCAGAGCAGTAGCCGCAGCTTCGGAAACATGGCGGAGGAAGAGCAAAGAAAAAAGATCCCATTGGTTCCAGAAAATCTCCTGAAAAAGAGGAAGGTTTATCAGGCCCTTAAAGCCACTCAAGCAAAGCAGGCACTTTTGGACAAGAGGGAGCAGAAGAAAGGAAAACAGCTCAAGTTTAAGCGACTGAAATGGTTTCTACATGACTCCTGGCGGCAGCAATGTGACAGGGTGCGCCTCAGACGACTAGAAGTGAAACCTCGTGGCCTGGAAGTGCCAGATAAACATTCCTTGGCCTTTGTTGTCCGCATCCAAAGGATTAATGGGGTGAGTTCACTGGTGCAGAGGACCATTGCACGGCTTCGCCTGAAGAAGATTTTCAGTGGTGTCTTTTTCAGAGTGACCCCCCAGACCATAAAAACGCTGCGTGTAGTGGAACCTTATGTGACCTGGGGATTTCCAAATCTGAAGTCTGTCCGGGAACTCATCTTGAAACGTGGACAAGCCAAGGTCAAGAATAAAACCATCCCTTTGACGGACAACACAGTGATTGAGGAGCACCTGGGGAAGTATGGTGTTATTTGCTTTGAAGACCTCATTCATGAAATCGCCTTTCCGGGGAAGAATTTCCAGGAGATCTCTGCGTTCTTACGTCCTTTCCATCTCTCAGTGGCCCGTCATGCTACCAAGAATAGAGTGGGTTTCCTCAAGGAGGTGGGCTTACCTGGCTATCGAGGTGAACGCATCAATCAGCTCATTCGGCAGCTGAATTAAACCCAGAAACTAGAGAGAGGGTCAAGGAAAAGAGGATGATGCTCCTGGCAAGCACTTGTCATCACAGCCCAGTTCCAAGGGAAAGTTCCAGTGTGTTTTCCGCATTGGCTGCCCCTACCACCTCTGAAGTCAGCGGGGAACTCCTGCCACAGAAGAGGGAGTCCCGCTGTGTCGCATCGTCTATCTTGGGATTTAAAGTTGGTGAACGAATACCCAAGCATGAATACAAGACAGCAGTGGACCAAGCTCAGGGACCTACTTGAACCTGGGGGTTCCTGGGGCCTTGTTTTGGAAGGAACTTGAAATATAATTACAAAGAAGAGTACAAAAAAAAAAAAAACCTAACTGCAAATCTGGTGTTTGCTGAATACTGGGAATGGCAATTTATCAGCCCTGTCACTGTTGTATGACATCAGTTGTGTAACTCTCTTTTGTCAGACAATAGATGTTAGGTAGTCCAGTAGACAGCTGTAGATTACTTCTCATAGCATAGGTAATTATGGCATCTAAAAAATAATTCAGACGTGTATGGGGACACCACACTAAACTACCTATAGATCAAAGCTAATGGAAAATTACTGGGTATAAAGCACCATATCTTACTAGGCAATTCTGAGATAAAATAAAAAAAAATAAAATGTCTAATTTCATTTATCATTTTTTTTATTTTGTAGAAATCAGACATTTTTGTATGAGTTCTAAAAATTTTACAGTCTAAAAAGAAATGAGTAGCAATTAAGGAAACACTAACTAGCTCTACAAACAAACTTAAGGGAAAGATTTTAGGCAGGAAGAGTAGGGAGAAAAAAAAACAAACTCCAGGGGCGCCTCAGTGGCTCAGTTGGTTAAGCAACTGCCTTCAACTCAGGTCATGATTCTGGAGTCCCAGGACTGAGTCCTGCATTGGGCTCCCTGCTCAGTGGGGAGTCTGCTTCTCCCTCTGACCCTACCCCCTCTCATGTGCTCTCTGTCTCTCTCTCATTCTCTCTCTCTCAAATAAATAAAATCTTTAAAAAAAAACACACACAAAAAAAAACAAAAGACAAAAACAAACTCTGGACACAAAGAAAACTACATGACCCACATCTATGATGCTGGGAAAGAACAGTAACAGACCAGCCTGGCATGCAGCAAAGCTACCTAACAACCTAAACTGTAAGGTCAATAAAAGAGAGACCCAGGTGACAGGAAGCAAGTAATAAGTAGGCTTATCAGACTTCTGTTCATATGTACACAGCATCAAAGATTATTCATTTATTTCAGTTAGACCCACACTCCTCTCCTTTCTCATACTCAAAACATTATAGAATGAATATATAAAAAACATACTATATAAAATAGCCATTAATCTTGCATATAACAGAAAATCAATAAATTCTTGTTAAGTAAAGAAAATGAACTTATATGTAAGAAATAAAGCAAGGTAACAATAGGAATGTCTCAGTACAGTGCACCCTAGTATATCTATATTTGAAACTACCCTGTGTCTTTCATTTCATCTACTTTTTTATTTCTCTTATTTTTTAAGATTTTATTTTTAAGTAATCTATACACCCAAAGTGGGGCTCAAACTCACAACCCCAAGATCAAGAGTTCCATGCTCTACTGGCTGAGCCAGCAGGGCGCCCCTATTTCTCTTATTTTAAGACATCTTTCTGAAGATTCACAAATTCTGTGTGGTTTAAAAAACAGAAATAGGATACATTCCTTCCCCCCCAAAATGGTACACAGACAAGATTAGTCAATGATACACACTTTTTATACTAACGAGAACCACACAACAGGTGGAATTAAATGTAAGTCATTTAGGGGGTTCTACAGACTACAGTGCTTCCTTTGTAGTGTGAAATCAGGATAATGTAAAAACCTATTCTTGTAAAGTGGTATACCATGAAGTCAGGGCTTATGTTTCTGCTAACCAGTAAGGAGCTTCAAAGAAGAGGCACCTATGCCTCTCAAACCATATTCAGGGCAAGAGTTCTCCACTCTAGATGACTGATTTGCTTCTTCAAATAGGACTTACCCTAGAATAGAAGAGGGTAATATACCAGGATACCACAACTTGACACAAAAACACTCAAAAATAGGGCGCCTGGGTGGCTCAGTTGGTTGGGCGACTGCCTTCGGCTCAGGTCATGATCCTGGAGTCCCGGGATCGAGTCCCACATCGGGCTCCCTGCTCAGCAGGGAGTCTGCTTCTCCCTCTGACCCTCTTCCCTCTCGTGCTCTCTATCTCTCATTCTCTCTCTCTCTCGAATAAGTAAATAAAATCTTAAAAAAAAAACCACTCAAAAATAATACATACACTCTCATCTTCTCTCTTCCAAGCAACCTTCTGACTTACAACATGTCCTCTTGACTAACCCGGCTCACTAAGAAGAGAATGCCCTTTATCAATAAGCCAGCCAATTTTCAAACTTGTAAATAAAAAGTGTCTTCTAGATGAAACTCTTGCAGACTGGGTTCCCTATCTAGTCCCACAGTGCTTGATGACCCTGAGGGAAGTGATAAATGCTTCTGAAACTGTAATGCACTACTTAAAATAACCTATGGACTTTTTTTTTTTTTTAATTGGGGGTGCACCGTTCCTGAAGTACTGCAATACCAGGTTGATGCGCGGAGTGGACAGACTTCTTATCCAGCATCAACACAGAAGTCAATTGCTAAGGTTTTTAAAAACTAGTTAAAAAATGGATAAAGAATGATTCAGGTATGCAAAAGTACCCTTATCCCTGGCATTCAGATTATGCCTTCAATAAACATTAGCTGCTATTATACTAATCTACCCCACCAAGTCACGGAGTGAAAATCAGATGAGACCACATGTGTGGAAACCCTTTGAAGATTATAAAGTACACAACATCATTATTATAAATGTGCTATCCATGGTATACAACATAATGGAAAGAGCAATAGATTTACTGACACAAGATCTGGGCTTTAATCCCAGTTCCACCATTGCTTAGCTATATGACTTGGGATGAGTCCAAGAGCACTGAGCCTCACATCTCTTCACCTATAAAACAAAGTTTGACGGATTAGTGCTCAGTAAAATCCCTGTGGAACCATGAACTGGATATATGGGATGAATGTGTCAAGGAGGAAACAGAATTTGGGGCAAAACAGCAAGCAGGTTAAGATTCCACTCTCTAAACCCACTTCAATTTTGTAAGTTTTAAAGTATCTGAGGTCTGAATAAGAAAAAGCTCAAACTGAAAAAGACTGAAAACCAAAATGAATGAACTAAAAAACTAAGTTGATAAAGACTTTTGGCTGTGTTGTGTTCCCATATGTGACCACAAAAGGGGCTGAAAATGTTCCACTCCTCGAAAGATTCATAAGCTAAAACTCACCTATTAGCCCTCAAGTAATGAAATTATGAAGACCAACGAAATGAGAGGCTGTCGGTGCAGCCACGCCCAGCCCCCAGTGTCAACACGGAAGAACAGCTAGCCAGGTGAGGCACAAATGGGACAGCAGCTGTATTTATAATGAGCCCAGGGACCCCGAATGACTTGCAATGCTGAGGATTTCCTGACTCTTCCACTCTCTTACAGGGATACTCAAAACCCTATGAAGAGTATCATGAAGGACCTGCTTATTAAAAAATACATCAAAATTACTTACTCATACTTTTCCCCTAACTTTATTTCATCTTTTGCTGGAGCACACAGTTACCAGTTCCCTCTGGACTTCTAATGTGCATTTAAAGAAACTATTCAAATCCCACCAAAACAAAATATCATTCTGTCTTCTTTACTATGATTACTGGTGGATTTTAATACCTACCCATGGAATGATGTTAATCACTAAGAGCAATCATTTTCATGCAAAAGTAGGATCCCATCTATTTCCTAAAGAATTATTAACATAGGGTTCTAAACAGTTCACACACCAGCAAAATTCCCACTACAGATCTAGAAACTGCCCAAATACATTTTCATTAGTGCTAATCTGTTAGTTACACATCTGTAAATCTAAAATGTATTGGCTAGGGGCGCCTGGATGGCTCAGCTGGTTAAGCGTCTGCCTTTGGCTCAGGTCTGGATTTCAGGGTCCTGGGATCGAGCCCACAACAGTGACTGTTCTCCCTCTCCCTCTGCCCCTCCCCCTCCGCTTGTGCTCTCTCAATCTCAAATAAAACCTTTAAAAAAAATTTTTTTAATGCTTAAAAGAGTAACTTTTCTGTGATTTCCCCACAATTAAAAATTTAAAAATGAAATTTTTAAAAAGAAGCAAAGAAAAAAAAGGACTTAAGATACTGGAAAACATTCCATAGGCAGCTAGAATCACAGAGGCAAGCCACAGGGAAGAGGGCAACTGTGATGTTCATTTGTAGTACAACACTGGGCAAGAGGCTACTTCTCCAAGAAATCTATATAGCAGTATCTAGGATTTTTTTCCTTGGACGAGAAGGCAGTGGGAAGCCATCTGAAGAACTAATTTACTAAGACCAAGTACCGCCCTGAATTTGAGAGATAAGTGATACCATAAGACAAAACAATATTACAATAATTGGGATCCCAGAAGAAGAAGAAAGAAAGAGAGGAGCAGAAGGTATATTGAAGCATATTATAGCAGAGAACATCCCTAATTTGGAGAAGGAAACAAGCATCAAAATCCAAGAGGCACAGAGAACTCCCCTCAAAATCAATAAAAATAGGTCAACACCCCGTAATACTTACGAGTCTCAGAGACAAAGAGAAAATCCTGAAAGCAGCTCGGGAGAAGAGGTCGGTAACCTACAACGGTAGAAACATTAGATTGGCAGCAGACCTATCCACAGAGACCTGGCAAGCCAGAAAGGACTGGCATGATATATTCAGAGCACTAAATGAGAAAAATATGCAGCCAAGAATACTATATCCAGCTAGGCTGTCACTGAAATAGAAGGAGAGATAAAAAGCTTCCAGGACAAAGAAAAACTAAAAGAATTTGTGATCACCAAACCAGCCCTACAAGAAATATTGAAAGGGGTCCTGTAAGCAAAGAGAGAGCCTAAAAGTAACAT